GKWWKGKTWAAAAAAAAACAACAACATTTAAGTGACATAAGTTGGGTCATGGGAAATGGAGTCATAGATTTGCGTCCACAGGCCGCATGGTCCAAGAGATACCGCATAAAATTTTCATTATTTGTAAAAAATTCATTATTCATAAATAAAATCTTTAGAAAATCTGCTTGGATAGTTATACTAGTTATTTAGCCAATTAGAAATCATTGCCGGATTTCAAGCCGAGTGGGGACTGGGCAAAATCCCTTAATTGGATAGTCATGACATAAATCTTAGAAAGAAAGCCCACGTTGAGAAATGCAAAATTCCAAAATCTCGTGATTATCCAATTAGGGGATTTYGCCCAGTCCCCACTCGGCTTGAAATCCGGCAATAGAGCGCCAGGTTGATTATATCTGTAGCTCACTCACTCACTAACAAAAAAGTGCAAATTTTTATATTGCTTTTTATGCACTTATCAATTGAAACCCCCGACCCCCGACCCCCGRGGAATACCGGGGATTTTAACGCTTGAGTGGTGTTAAAATGAAACAATTCCCCGATACTGTTGCCCCGCTATTTTGGTCTAGTAGTAAATAACGAAACAAACACCTTTCAACCAAATTTTATGTGATACACAGGGTTATTTTTTGCACAATTCTGTGCACTCATTTGCGCAACCTTCAACTATTTTCCCGCCATTTTGCGAGTAGAGAAGGTCCTGGGRACGATTTAAATTTGGGTTTCCTGTGTTATCGTAGAAATTCCAACATGGCTGCCGATGTGTTACTTTCTTGGGTGTGTAAATATTATCCATTTATTATGGACATTATGAGCTTGTATCATCTTATTCAATAGTGATCTATATAATACAGGGTGCTAATAGCTACGGACAGCTAAGCCAAGGTCATGCTGAAGATATATTATGTCCTACACGCATTTCTTTCTCGAATGAAGTTCACTTGTTGGCAGGCGGTGGAGGGCATACAATGCTAATTGATGGTGGGTTTTGGACTTAGTTATTGAACTTTTTATCTTTTTTGCTCTTTTYTTTACATATTATTTCCTGTTKATCCTAAGGCAATGGAAATGTCTACTCCTGTGGATGGAATAAAAAAGGGCAACTTGGTCTGGGAGACGTCGATGACAGACATCATTTCCAACATGTGCCCAACCTGACAGCTGTAAAATTCGTTGCTTGTGGATGGAATCATACGCTGATTATCACGGGTAATCTTGAAAGCAGCTTACTTCATAACATAATGATAAAGCAAAGTAATGTTGGATATGTGGTTGCTTGGATTAGAAGTTTGGAGGAAATTGCAGTTAGGGACGGTCCATTTAACTTTTGAGGGGGGGGGGGGGGG